TAATAATAATAATAATAATAATAATAATAATAATAATATAATTACTAGTAAATACAAAAAATGTATTTGTCATATATGTCAAATATTAGAGGATAAAATATATAGAATATAAATTTATTTAATAAATAAAAATCATTTTATTCACAAAAAGTGTAACAAAAATAATTTTAAAGCAATTGATTTTTATTAATAAAAAATAATGGAAATGGTTCAATGTTAAAAAAAATTATCATAATATTACCTTCAAATATAAAAAAGATCATTGTAAAATAAAATTAGAAGGAAAATAAATTAAAAATAACTATGACAAATAAGTCTCACAAAAAAAAAATATTAATCACTAACTATGCTTAACGGTGGGTTCACATCAGTCTAGCATCAACATATTGGTTCCATTGATAATACATACTAGTGTGTAGATAAAACGCTGAAAAAGGTCCTATTTGAGAAGAAGATAAGAGAATAGGCAATATAGCTCTTACAGATGGGCAGATTAGCGATTTGGTGACACAGCATGACAAAAGAAGTTGGGGTTGAAGAAGAAGATCCTATACTTATGATTGAGAACGACGAATATGGGAAGAAGCTTCGTCATAACCATTTTTATTAATGTGAATTTGCGAGACATCATAGATATTCATGTAACCGAACACAACCTAAATTTTTTGGATGAAATTACGTACGTTTTTGTCCAAAAACCTAACTGGGGAAAGGTTGTAATTTCATAGCAACAGCCTTGAGGACAAGGCATTGGTTAATGGGACGGGAATGTTAGGAACCTTTATGTACATGTCTCCACAAGCCACATCAACAACCAAACTATGAATATAGGCATATATGTTCATGATACTATTGGAGTTAGTTGCGATAAAGTCGCATATCACTTAGATAATGCATGAAAAATAAGGTATTTGATGAATAATCTAATTCCTTCTTTTTCTCACTAAAATTGTGATTTTTGGAACCTTCTTATTTTTATTATATATATATATATATAATAGTATTTTTATTTTTTATGTGTAATAGTAAATAATTTTTATAATTCTTAATTTTTTGTATATAAAATAAAAAAATTATTTTTATATGTATAATTTAAAAAAAAAAACTTGGCTTGTAGTCGAGCTTGAGCCGAATCGATTTTGAACTTACAAGTTTTTAAACCGAGTCGAGATCGAGCTTAACACTATTTCTGTGAGCCGAACTCGAATAGCCAAGCATTCGGTTCAGCTCGACTTGAATCCACCCCTAACTGATATGGCTATTTTTTGATGATGGGGAAGAATATTTATCAAAATATTTCATAGAAGTTGGATTTGATTGTTTGAAATATCCCATAGATTGTGCTAAAATTTAATTAATTATAATGGGACAAAGGAGGATCAAACTAGAGGTGTAAATTGGGCCTTGCCGCTCGCAGCCTGACCTAACTTTGGACCAGCCCGGTACAATGACACACGGGCCATGCCAGGCTCGACATGATCATGTGGGCCATGTTGGGCCTAGGGTTTTAGGTCCACGGGTTGCGCCAGCACAGCACGACACGACCGAGCAGGTCGTGCCGCCCGTGGCCTGGCCCAACACGGTCCATATATATTATTTATATATAATATATAATATATTTATATAAATAAACAATTATTTTCAATTATATTATATTAATTTATTTCATTATTGTATATAAGCAATTGTATACATCAAAATTCATATAAATTTAAAAATTTTAAGTTTTTTTTTTCAATTTTTTTTTTAAATAAATAGTTTCGGCCTAGTCCACGGTCTGGCCTGACCCAAGGCTTGGCCCACGGATCAGCCCGGCCCGCATGGGATTGGGCCGTGGGTGCCATGCCGGGCCGACCCCCAAGTTATCCCAAGGGAGGGTGACACGACTCGGAATGGCCTACGGGCCGGCATGACACGGCTTGCACTTTATGCGGGGGCCGCCTAGGGGCTCGATTTACACCTCTAGATCAAACAATAGAGCACTTGGGCAAACATGATTTGATACCATTTCAAGAAACCATTCAACCTAAGAGCTTAATTTGTTATGTAAGGTCTCTAAATAGGTTTTTATTCTCAAACAGGTAAATTTTTTCAGATTGATATATATGTCATGCTATTATTTTCATTTCTTTAACAGTGAATTCTTTTTGTGTGGTTTTTAATTAATATGTTTTGACTTTTGATTGATACAAAATTACAAAAAAAAAAAACTTAAAAAAAAATCAAAAGATTTCATCCTGATTAAATATTCATCCATTTTACATGGAAAGTTGGAAACAAAGCGCCCTTTACATTAAAATAACTTATGCAACATAAGTTGTAGCGAGCTTGGCTTTGGATTCTATTAGTTTCAATGCATCATCCAACTGAAATCAATGGAATCGTTATAATCATGTCCAGACCGTTGAAATTTGATTCACGTTGCACAAAGCAAAAGCAAAGTTTAAGATTGTTTCGTCGTCATGAAAGCGAAGAGATATGAAGAAGAAGAAGAGAATAAGCGTCGGCTGCGGATGCCTTAGAAGGTATCTTACGCATTCGTGTGTTGAGTTGGACTGGTTTTAATTAGCAGCCGCTGGTGGCATTGTTAATGTAGGTACGTAAGGGATCTAGTCTTCTAGTTGAAAAAGAAAAGAGTACTGATGCTATAGTCCACCAGCTGAGGTGGCTGTAGCCTGTTGGCCTGCACTTCCAATCAGATTCAACCACGTCATATGTCTCTCTATCTTACATGTGTGGATTAAGTTAAACAGTAAATTTGAAATGTTATGCCTCTAAAATTTATTTTTTTTTTGAAATTTTAAAAAGTAAAAAAAGAAAATTTGAAACTCAAGCCAAGGGTCAGAAATCGTTTTGCAACATTTTCACTATTTCGTTTGTTTCTCTTTTGGTTGTGTTTGGTTTAAAAGAAAAAAATAGGTAAAGGAAGGGAAATGTAGGAAAACCTTTACAACCCTTCCTTTCCCTATCTTTTCCTTCAAACCAAACATAACCTTTGGGCGCCATTAACATGAGATTTGCAGTTTTCTTTCTTCTTCATATTTCGGCCAAAGGCAAAAGCCATTTACAAGAAATTGTTTGATTTCATATGTGTTTCTTGACACTGCAGTTTTTTGCAAGTGAAGCAATAACAACGATATTTTGCAACATCAAGCTACAAAAAATTTCTCTGGGACCCGTTTGAGATGATTAAAACTCTTAAAAGGACTTTTGTGGAAAGAAACTATAAGCTGTCTTTGCAAAACTCACACCCTTGCAAAATAATTTTTGTCCCTTGGATCTATTTGCAAAACAATTTCCCATGATTCTCTTGTTAATGGTGCCCAAAGAAGAAGAGAACAAAAACCGTGAAGATGAAATCCCGTTTCCTATAAAATGATTTCCGCCTCTTGATTGAAGAATGATTTGTTCCTGCAAATTGCTTGTTAATGGCATCTTCGTTGGGTTAACTATAGAACAATCTGTTCCTAGAAAATGATTTTCTTTTTTTTTTTTCATTCTTTTTAAGTTTTGAAAATTAAATTTTGGGGACATCACGCCCCGAACTTTCCCTTTAACTTAATCCACACATGTGAGACGGGGAGGCATGTGATGTGTGACATGAGAATGGCTTACGTGTTTAAATTTTTGGAACCCAAGTATTCATGGTCACAAAGGCCATGGTCTAACTTGACCATTGAGTTACTTAAGTGATGTGATCATTTGTTTTCATTTTAATATTTAAATGTGTATAATCAGTTTTGAACCATATATTAATATCTTACAATAAACTATATATTAAATTACTTGATTTAATCAATGAAGGTGATAGATAAGTTTTAAATTATATATCATATATTTTGAAAATCAAGTTTTTAAAGAATATGTCTTGTTTAAGGGAGAGAGTATGTAAAGAATAAGTTCCATGGATAGACCTTGGAACTTACCTAAGTTAGAATTGACCTTGAAACCAATTTTTATAGACTAGGTTCTGATTCCAAAAGCCTTACCAAGGAACCAAAATCTAACCAGACCCATGCTCACCCCTGGAACATAGTGTATTAAAATTAGGGTAAATTATAGATATGTTTGGGGGTAGTGACACTTAAGGCCTGCACTTTCAAATGTGACGTTTTAGTACCCTAAACTTTTAGAAATATATAAATTACAAAAAAATGTCCATATTTAGATTCTCTTTTGCTCATTAAACTTTTATTTTATTCTTTTCCCATATAAAACGATCTCTATACTTATTTTTAACAAAGAATAAAAGCATTTGAATGGAACTACAGAAAACAATTAAAAAAAAAAAGAAAATCTGAACATGAATGTTTTTATAATTTTATCCTCATTGAAACCTTAGTTTTAATAGAATTCACTTAAAATGTAACACCTGAAAGTTCAGCTACCCCCAAAGTATAAGGTACATATCTATAATTTACCCTTTTAATTAGTGACCAGATCACACCGGAAGCGGGATATGCTCCTCACAAATGGGTGCCTCACAGGCACATCCACCGTGCATTGAGAACATCTCCTGTGAATAATAACTAATAAGTACGGGAGATGTTCCCAATGCATGGTAGGATGTACGTGTGAGAAACAGATCCGGTGTCATCACACCCTATCCATACTACACTGCAGCCGCACATCTCACATACAGACTACAATTTTAAGCAGATAAAGTGGAGTTCACATCTGCACCCCGCAATGTCCCACACACATCCTGGCCTTATATAAGGAATATCTCTCCCGATGACAACTACAGGAGATGATGAGACATTGATCATCGGGACAAATTTCTAATACAAGGCGGAAATGTGCTGTGGGGCGCAGAGTGAACTCTATAAACTTGTGGGCAGGAAACCGTATTGTTTTGATTATGCCTTTATTAGTCGAGTTGAGAAAGAAGCTGAGGGCTCAAGCGTACGATATTTGAGAATATTCTGAGATAACAACGACCCCATCCTTCATTAACAACAGTTTATTATAAACTGTATAGTGTATTACACATTTTTGTCTCATCACTGCGCTCGTTCTCTCTCTCTATGATATATTCATATATCAAATTAGTGATCAATTTAGTGATCACCAGAACAAATTAGTGATCAATTTAACTGAACTGGCTGTCAAAAATGAAAGTTTGTCGTCCTACAAGAAATTCATCATCTCATCTCATGGCGTCATTGATCATAACCATAGCCATTATCAAAGCTTGATCGACTCCCGGTTGGACGGTGAGGGTAAGCACATCTTTCCCAAGAAAGGACTCTGAGGCTGCATTGCACTTCCTTGTAACCTGCTGCCGTAATCGTCACAGAGATTAATCGATGATCACTTTGGTTTGGTTGTGCACAGTAATAAATTAAATTAAGCATCATCATCCATATAAACAAGAAATTAATTGTAAGTAGTACCTCTGCGACGGGCGAAATGAGACCCGTAGTTGATCGGTAAATCTTAGACCATCCCTGGTTGGGCGACCATTCCATATGGTACTCGTCTCCTGCTGCTACTGTAATCTTGCAACTAGGGTTCCCCAGAACCTTGGTGACCTTGATTAGGGGCTTTTGATTTTCGCGACCGCCAAATCTCTCTTCTTTATCACCCCTAAATGCTTCCCAACTCCCTGAGATGCCAAGTTTCTGCCATGGGATCGTATCGTGTGTATATATATTAATTAATAAACAATGTTAAGGAATAAAATTTATTCAAAGATCTCGCTTAACGGCTTAAGTTTTTAGGTTGAATGGTTTTTTGAGATGTAAAAATACCTTTCTGCGGCGTCGGATGGTGAAGAGGACATTCCCAGATGAATCCATGAGGAAGGTCTCCTCCCTCCAATCACAGGCATAGTTGTCAACTCGAAAGACCAGCCTACCGTCCAAGTTATTAAACACAGCGTAGCCATTACCATGGAAGAGTAAGGACTTACGCCAGATAGTGAGGCGAGCTGGGCAAGATGTTGACATGATAACTCTTCTTCTTCTTCTTCTTCTTCTTCTTCTTCTTCTTCTTCTTCTTCTCCAGTAGTGTTTAAATTTATATAGAGAGACAAGAGACAGGTAGAGAGGATGGAGCTAGCACGTTGTACATACATTTGATTTCTTATTTGGGGGCAGCCGGCGTAGTGGGTATCTACAGGACCACAGAGCAACTTTTATTTTGGTTCTTGGGTTGAGCTACCACGACAGCAACTTGTGTGATCCATGATGAGAAACGTGACACCATACAGATTTTAGTGGGGACAGAACAGGGCGCACGTGATGAATAGGGGTGCAACTTGGGTCGGTCGGGGGAATTTGTTGATTCTTCAACTCCACCTGTACTTTTCGTGAATTACAGATTTACAGTCACACATCTCACAATTCAAGATGGCAATGTGTGGTTAGTAGAGTGTGGGTAAAGAGTAGTGGACAAGAATAGAGGTAAATGGACTGGATTGGATTCAATCTAAACTGAATGAAATATCAACAATTATATAAAAAAAACAGAACATATAAAAATTGTAAAAATATATTAAAATGAAGAAATAAAAATTACAAAAGAATACCCTTTTGGCATTGAAAAAGCACTTTTGTAAAAATATTTTCATAAAACTACTTTGATAAAAGTGTTTTTACAAAAGCACATTTATGAAAGTATTTTGTAAAAGCACTTTCATAGAAGTGCTTTTATAAAAGTACTTTCGCATAAGTGCTTTTGTAAAAGTACTTTTGTTGAAGTGCTTTTATAAAAGTACTTTCTTTAAAGTGCTTTCATAAAACCACTTCCATAAAAATTCTTTCGTAAAGTGCTTTTATAAAAGTACTTCCATAAAAGTGCTTTAATAAAAATACTTTTATAAAAGTACTTATGCAAAAGTGCTTTTATAAAAGTTCTTCCGTAAAAGTGCTTTTGTAAAGTGCTTTCGTGTAAATGTGCTTTCATAAAAGTGCTTCTGTAAAAGTTATTTCATAAAAGTATTTTTGTAAAAGTGCTTTCATAAAAGTACTTTTCATAAATTTACTTTTATAGAAATGTTTTTGTAAAAGTACTTTCACAAAAGTGATTTTATGCTAATTTTAATTTTGATCTATTTCAAATTAGACAAATGTTTAGCCTCATAATTAGATTATTGGAAATTTGGTTTGGGTTCAATTCAAACCAATAAGAATATTGACCAATTTATTTTGGATTGGCCCAATTCAATAATTATAATGGACCATCCAAATCCAATTTGATAAGATTTGGATCGGATTGAATCCAATCCATAACCGATCGATTGACACCCTAGACAGTAAATCCCATTTGGTAGTTTCATGGGTTTGATCTCGCATCTTCACAATCCAGGGGATTCGAAGGACCACCTCAGCTACTGGGAATATACCATGCATGGTCACAGTAATTTCTTACCGCATGCCTAATAAAAGAGGAAGACAATTAAGTTCACAACTAGTAACTATGATTCCGCCACATTTCTTCCCTTTGCGTGGCTATCTTAAAGATAGATAGATAGAAAGAGACTACACCCCATAAAGAGCTACGTTGTGATGTTGTCCAATATGGTAAATGAAAAAAAAAATGTTGGAATTTCACACTGACATGGTAATGAACCTGTAATCATAAAGGAACATTGGAGGCCCCAAAGTGATATCCTAGAGGAAGAGACTCCAATGATCAAGTCAATAAAATGAAAAAGATGGAGGATAAGCTGAGGAATACAGTGAAGATGTGTAAGGTTGTTATGGACATACCGCCCGGCAGTACATTGCGGCGCAGTCATAGGCAGCAGCACGCACAACAGCAAGCACCGCCCGGTAGCACGCACCGCACGGCAGCGCGCAACACGCACTGCGCAGCAGCAGCACTAGGCAGCAGCACGCACCACACGACAGCAGCACTGTGAGACATGCGCACCGCCGACAATAGTAATAGAGCGGGGCCCACATGATAGCTCATCAGGGTGGGTCCACACTTATCTTACCACATCAGCTCTGCCCGCCAACTCGCCGCCAGCTACACCATTTCTCATCCCTTATCCTTATCCTTATCTTATCTTATCTTAAGTAAGAGTTATGTTACCTTTAGGAGTAGGTAATTAGGAGTTTGAGTTTAAGTTGGATTACCCTAGCCTAGTCGAATCCAACAAGAACCCCCTTTTTGTAATCTCCTATTTAAGGAGCTATGAGTTGAAATAAAGACATTCAGTTTTCCAGTCAAGAAAGAGAGTGGGGAGAGTTCGGGTGGTCTCTTGGACAAATCACCCATTCGGTTTTCCACAATAGGTTTTGCATGCAAAGGAAGGCACAAGGGAAAGCAGGGCTTTCTCCCCGTGGACCGACCCGTGACGAGATCCTACGTCCGGGCCCACAACATTCTGGTATCAGAGCCAAACGTCATGGGCGATATGGAGTAGCTATCATCCAAGGTCCGTGAACTGGAACATAGGCTAGCAGAAACCAACATGGAGGTTCGTGAAGTCAAGGAAGATGTCCGGGAGTTGTGACGCAGGCTGGAAGCATTCATCTCCAATAAAGAAAAGAGTTCTGAGGGAATCGCCAACACAAATAGTCGCCATCCGGACTGGGCAGAGGCATCCAGCGAACAGTAGATCGCTGCCCCGACAGCCGCAGTTATTCCCAAGTGTAGCCGTTCGGAGTTTTCCTCATACAGCGGCAGCGGCGACCCATTGGGATGACTGTACCGTTGCAAGCAATCCTTTCGTAATCAGCGTACGGAGGATGAAACTGTAAAGTCTCCTCCTTTGGTCGGGGATGATAACTATGCAGAAGTCCAAGAAACAGGAGTGCGCAAGAGATATAAGGTGGATGGGCAGGATATGGAGGTAACTTTCTCTCAAGCTTATATTGATGGCATTGATTTTGTGTTCATGGACAGCCCTATGTTTGGCAATATTGAGAAAAATATATATGGGGGAGGCTGAGCGGGTATTTTAAAACGCATGGTTCTCTTCTGTAAGGCCGCTCTTGAGGTTCTCTTCTATAAGTATACCCAATGCGTTCTTGTGATCCACAACATAGCACACCAGGGTTGTGGTCCAGTAAGCGATTTTCGTTATGTGGATCTTCCACAAAACCACATAGATCATTTCAAACTACATGACCCAGGAGGAGGGGGGCACTTCAATATCCTTGCAGCTGGCCTGAAAGCAGCAGATCGTGTAGTCACTATAAGCCATGGTTACACCTGGGAGCTGAAAACTAAAGGAGGTGGCTGGGGTCTGCATCAAATAATAAATGAGTGTGATCGGAAGCTGAAGGGCATTGTGAATGGGATTGATGCAAAAGAATGGAACCCACAGTTGGATGTTTACCTATTATCTGATGGCTACACTAATTACTCTGTGGAGACTCTTCCGACTGGCAAGCCTCAATGCAAAGTAGCTCTTCAAAGGGAGCTTGGTCTTCCTCTTCGGGAGAATGTCCCTCTGATTGGGTTCATTGGCAAGCTTGACCATCAGAAAGGTGTTGATCTCATTGCTGAGTCCATTCCTTAGATGATGGAGTAGGATGTGCAACTAGTCACGTTGGGCACTGGGAGACCTGACCTGGAACAGCTTCTCAAACATTTTGAGAGTCAACACCATGACAAAGTCAGGGGTTGGGTGGGTTTCTCGGTGAAAATGGCCCATCGAATAACTGCTGATGCAGACATCCTACTCATGCCTTCTAGATTTGAGCCATGTGGACTGAACCAGCTTTATGCACTGAGCTACGGGACAGTCCCTGTTGTTCATGTTGTTGGTGGATTGAGAGATAGTGTGTAGCCGTTTGACCCATTGGCAGAGTTCCAAGCCACGTATCCAGAATTCGAGCTTGAGGACAAGCTCGTTGTCCAGGAGGGGTGTGATGTTATGGACACACCGCCCGACAGTGCAGTCATAGGCAGCAGCACGCATAGCAGGCCGCACAGCAGCAGACACCCTCTGACAGCGTTGCGCAGCAGCACGCACCGCACGGCAGCGCGCAGCACGCACCGCGCGGCAGCAGCACTAGGCAGCAGCACGCACCGCATGACAACAACACTAGGCAGCAACACGCACCACACACAGCAGCATGCACCGCACGGCAGCAGCACGCACCACACGGTAGCAGCACTGTGAGACGCGCGCACCGCCGGCAGCAGCAGTAGAGCGGGGCCCACACGATAGCTCATCAGGGTGAGTCCACACTTATCTTACCACATCAGCTCTGCCCGCCAACTCGCCGCCAGCTACCCCATTCCTCATCCCTTATCCTTATCCTTATCTTATCTTATCTTAAGTAAGAGTTGTGTTACCTTTAGGAGTAGGTAATTAGGAGTTTGAGTTTAAGTTGGATTACCCTAGCCGAATCCAACAAGAACCCCATTTTTGTAATCTCCTATTTAAGGAGTTATGAGTTGAAATAAAGGCATTCAGTTTTCCAGTCAAGAAAGAGAGTGGGGAGAGTTCGGGTGGTCTTTTGGACAAATCACCCATTCGGAGAGTTCGGGTGGTCTCTTGGACAAATCACCCATTCGGTTTTCCACAATAGGTTCTGCACGCAAGGGAAGGCACAAGGGAAAGCAGGGCTTTCTCCCCGTGGACCGACCCGTGACGAGATCCTACGCCCGAGCCCACAACAAAGGTGATGGTGTATTGGAATAGATGGGGATTCACATTAATTTATTGTAGAAAAGTCTTATTCATAAATGAACATATCACTCCCATGTGGTTGAAATCTTAGTCCACTTGGCATTCAATGGTTGACACGTTATATGCACATGATCAGTGGTGGGCCCAAATTGAATGTGCTAGTATTGGTGGTTCGAGTTTGGACTCTGGATCTCCTGTCCACAAGAACTCTGCCCACGCCTACCCATAATGCACTACCCCCGTGAATTGGAAACATCTCCCCCTGCATGATACCATGCAGAAGATGAAATGTTCTCCATGTGGCTGTAATAAATGTGAACAAAGTTCTCGTGGGCAGGAGATCCAGACTTGCGCCATTCGTCTTACTCCCAAGGGCCAAGTAACGATTGATCTTCAAGTCAGCAGGTCAATTCATTCAAAGTGAGCACGACATGCATTGAGGTGAAATAAACGAGGTTGTACTCCAAGTCCAAGGTGAAATAAACGATCGAGAATGCATTGAGAACATATTCCAAACTAGTAATGGTGTGGAGCACCGATGTGAATTCGAGATACATTAGCTTGGTGGGTTTTGGCTGCATCAGTTTGTTTGATAGAAAAATAAGAGAAACACAAAATGGTAGGAAATGAAAGCACAACGTTCATTTGAAAGAAATAGAACTCCTTGATGCCAAACATATGATATGATCCATTGAAGCCAATTGATAAGGTTCATCCCATTGTGATCATTGTCACCATCACATAATCCCACAACCACCCATTGCATTCAACTGACTCCCAACGGAAATCTCATGATCTACTTGAGGCTGAACTGTTTCACATTTTATCTACTTGATTTTTCTTTTGAAGTCTCCCATGATTTATTTGATCGACTCTTGAATAATCCATTAGGTTTAGTTATTGTTCGAGTGTTACCGGAGAAGGCACCCTTATCCCGGTTTCTGGTAATTAATCAAGGTTTTAAATATCAATACAGGCCAATACGCTCGAATCAGTGCTTTTTTTATGTTTTATTTATTTTTTTCAAAATCAATTTAGAGGGATCGGTTTAAGTGCCGACTAGTCTCTGAATCTTATACATGGTGAATTTCTTCTTCTTCTTAGTATTGTAGTACCGTTTTACAGTTGAAGATTGTAATCAAAAATAGAAAAAATAAGTCATCAAGGATTTTGGATTTAAAAAGCTAAATCATTTTTTATTTTTATTCCAAATGCCTATAATGAATTCATCATTCATGGAAAATGACCCTAATTTTCAATGGTTAAAGGCCTTCTGATAACAGCTGAAGATACTAAACTGAAAAGCTTATTGTTTTGTCTTTTAAAGGCTATTTTAATGGCTGAAACTAAAGTTGGGTCGATCACTATACCTCTGAAAATTTTATTATTTAATTATTTTAACAATTAAAAGACAATGTAATAAATCTTTCAATTGTGCAATTTCAGGCCTTTCAGCCGTTAACAAATGGATTCCTCCTAGGCAGTCCGGAATGAATGACTCCACATGATTCCGAAATGGATACTTTGTAAGATGGACATGCAAAAATAAGAAAGATTTTACACCAGAAGATGAAGAAAATAATTGGAGTTTGTTTGAGAAAAGAGTCAGTTTGGAAGAAGTACAAATACAAATATGTAGAGTGCAAATACATACAAAGTACAAGGTTTTGCACTCCACATATTTGTATTTGCATTCTTTCCAAACTGAGCCCAAGGTTACGCTGCATTTATTTTTCGTGTAAATGCTCTTTTCCATTGATAGAGTTGAGACACGATGGTTCGGTAAGAGTGTAAAATACGGACCGGCCATTGTGCCGATTTACAATTGTCCTGTTTGGTTACATCAACGTAAATGGAGTTTACGTTTTCTGATATGTTGCAGCGGGAGATGGTGTAGAGGAGGAGAAGACGATCTGAAGCAGGGGAAGAAGAAGAAGAAGAGAGAAAGAGAGAACGAACAACTGTTCCTCTCCAGCTGGTTGCAGTGGAGATTTGCCTTGGGTTTCACGGACTCCAAGCAACGGAGATCCGACGCCCGCCATACTTTCAGGCACTTACCCCAGGAAACGGAGTAGATTAAACCATTGCTGATGGCGAGGCCAGAGACAGCGTCAGCGTGTTCAATCCATACCCGTTTCTTGTGATGTCTGACGCGGACGTAGTTCTTCGGTAGATGTCGTTGCCACGAGTTGATGTCGTTTGGTTGGGGTTAGCTGCCAGACTCGGATCTTAGAGTCCTGGTGAGCGGTGAAGAGCTTCCTTTCCGAAATAGCGAGACTTAACGGAACCCGAGGCGGCATAGAGTAGGTCACCGGAGACGGCGAGGCAACCAATATAACAGGTAACAGTCCATTGCTTGGGAAGCTGAACCACATTCACTGCCGAAGGAAGGTCGTTAGCCTTTTTTACCTGAGACTTGAGACCCTGCATCTGCACACGTTTTGGTAGCCTCTTTTACCTGCAAAAGAAACAATGGAGATGATTAATAGGAAGAAGGGAACTGTGAAACGTTCTATGCCCTGGTTTTGTGAGAAACAGAGCACGAATGAAGAAAGAAGAAAAGCTAAAACTTTCTTGTGGCTGGTTTTATTCTATTAAATGCTCTGCCTCAGGGAGGGGAGAAGAGGAGGAACAGGTGGGAGTGAGTGAGGGTCTCCTCTCAAAGGTGAGTGAAGACTGAAGAGTTCAGTGAGGAAGGCGTCAGGGTGTAGTGGAGACCGGAGAAAACATCGAGGTAGGTGGCAGCGGTGGAAAGAGAAAAAAAGGGGGGGAGAACCGGAGAAGAAGAGAGAAGGAGAAGAAAGAGAGAGCGAGCGAGCGAGAGAGAGAAGGAGAAGAGAGAGAGAGCGAGCGGACGATGTAATAAATACGTCGATATATTTATTACATCGATTCTCGATGTAAATTAAAATTAAAATGTAATTTTACATCGATTCTCGGTGTAAAATTACATGTTTACCAAACTTTAATAAAATTAAAATGTAATTTTACCAAACGTTTGTTTTAGGTGTTGTTTTATACTGTAAATTAGCGTAAAACTCCACTTAGGGTGATCTCAGCAGAATTGGCGATGAAAGATCAAGTTCTACCTGGTTCTTCTGTGCACCGTTTGGACTTTTTTTGAAGCGTGAGAAAAAAAGAGCCGGAGAGAGCATTTGAAAACCATTCAGATCTGATAAACTAATCTGATCCTTTAAACTGCCTCAAAGATTTCTGTGGTTTGCTGAGCTAAATACTTTTTTTTTGTATCGTGAATACCAGGGAAGATCCCATTAAGGCGAAACTTCCGGTTTTAGCTTCTCAGTAGGCTAGAACTTTTATTTTTCTCTCTCTGTCAGTTCTTGCTGATGATTTTCCCGATCGATCGTTGATCCGTTTTTCAGCTAGAGTTTCTCGAAGCAAAATGTGGTAACTTCCTTTAGGAAGAGTTCTAGAGCAGAAACAGAGTAGAAGCCTTTCGCTTTACACCGTGACGGCCAAACATCATCAGCGTAAAAATTTAAATCCACCTGGTTCTATTTTCCATCGATCACTGAACCAGCGCCAACTTTTTCATTGGTGTAAAACTGAATTTACACCTGAAACAAACGCAGCCTAAAGAAAAGTAGTGTGTCTAGGGAGAAAAGGAAAATGGATAAGATAAAACATACTTACAGGAGATGCACCATAGGCACCCGCATATGCAGAATTCACATCCATCCCACCTTGGTTGGCATCATGTTGTTCTCTTCGCTTTCTCTCAGCTGCATGGATTTAGAAAATGAATCTATAGAAAGATTTTAATTAAAAGGTAAAAGCCAAGTCAATCTCAAATAATCTTACATTTCCTTTTCTTTTTGGACAAAAGGTACATCTCTGGTAAACTCAAAAAGCAATAAAAAATATAGTAATTGCAACAGTAAAATGCCTGGTATAACACTGTTGGCACAGAGATGCTCTTTGCTGCCATATTATGGAAGATTCATCAAGTTGGGAGTATTTGTTTTTGAAAATTAGGTAGTATTCTGCAGTTTCTTTCCATCCAGATAGACTACAGGAACTGGTATCAAGTGCCAAGTAATCCAGCCAATCCATTCTTTTCTGCTTACTCCATCAATATGCCAACTGTTAAGGAAATCATGGGTGGATTTTGGAAAGACCCAGCTTAGCTAAAGATTGACAAGGAAATGAGCCCAGATTTGCATGTTTATAGGACCATGCAAAAACAGATGGTCTGCGGTATCCTGGTCAATATTGCAAAAAGAACAGCTGGTGGATGGAAGGTTTATTATACCCCCTTCTGATGGGATAGACTTTCATTAGACATTTGCCAGGATGGAAGGTTTATACCCCCACTTCAGATGGAACTTTATGTGACAAAATGGATCTGTAGGGGAAGCCAGAAGTGAGTGTGTAATGACTGATCGACAATTTATGATGCACAAATTTTCCAAAACAAACCCAGACCATGGGGGAACTTGGTAATAACAATGTTAAATGTTCCTTCCCAATTCTCTTCAAATTGGTTTACTGGAGAATCATGGAAGCAACATGGAAATGTTTCATCAGGAAAGAGGGCAAAAAAGTCATGAGGTCCCGGTCCAGCCCAGCGGCCCATGAACATCCCCATAGTAAACTCTATTTATCAAGTGCATGCATGGTAAATATGGATAAAAATGAGGTAAAATCACTGTGTTTTCTAATATAATGATAGATTTCTTTTTTTTTTTTTGTTTTTTTCTGATAAATTAGTAGTATGATAGATTTCTAAAACAACAAAAATAATTGTATGATTTGGAATATGGTTTACTATTCAATTTGATTCAACCTTATCTACAATTTACAATTATTTTATCAGTTTCTCTACAATTTACGATATGATTATGATTTCCAGAATGTTGCATTAGTGAATGATTTGTCCAAAGTCAAAATCAAGGTTTTGCATTACTGGTCTTTGAGAAAACCAAGAATTTTATTTCATTCTAGTGTTGTAGAAGAAAGGATAAGTTGCAATATTTTCTCTATGTGATGGATAAATCATTGGTAGCCAATGGGATCAATTATTTTTAATTCTTTTAATGTATAGAGCTGAACATGTATATTTTGTACTGTACATGGTCTCACATAAAATCCTTGTATATGGGGCTTTTTAAGCACTACTTAATCTTTAGACCAAAAAACTATACCTAGTAAAAACATCTTCACCTATAAAAAAGGAAAAGAGGAAAAGGTAAAAACTATGTTTCACCAGTGTAATCTGCACTTAACTATACAAAAATGCTTTTGGCCCTTGGACTTGGTTATATGGCATATGAACACTAGAACAATTCTACAACATGACCTTCCTAGACATGCAGAGTCTGCAATAAAGTTGTACATGTGAGAGAAGTTGTTCCTTTTGGAGACACTTGTACATTTAGAGGCCATTTAGTAATGGCTGGAGTGGCTGGACAGCTTCACTAAATGACTAGCTTCTTTGTCTTTCAGCAAATAAATTGTTAAATAGGCTGTGAGCTCCCTAAGGGCAAATGGCATCTTGGGTTGATCTCTATACACCTAAATAGGTCATTCAGTTCAGTCACTTTCATGGCCCAAAACTGCAATCCAATAATTTGCCTCGAAGCATCAAATACCAAGCCCATGACTTAATTGGTTGATGTGATGCATGGAACCATAAATGGATTTTGTCCAATTCATGGCCCAAAACAAACATGGAAATCAAGAAAGTAGCTTCAAGCATCGCATGGTTTATCTTGAATCACATCCCTTGAAAATTTTTCCTCAAACAATCATAAGCATATCAAGAGCAATTAAGGAGGATATTCCCTCCCAAAAAAAAGTTTTTTCTTGAAATAATAATGTGTGCCGAAAGACACCAATGAAGACACACAAGTAAACAGATGGGGGAAGAAATTAGAATACCAATCAACCAAAACATCAGACAAAAAGTCAGGCTCAGGACACCACAGATAGTTACAGATGCATGGAGTGAAAGATGTCAAGCTTCCTCCTAAATGTGTCAATGGAAACTAACAGATTTAAGATGACTGAAGGCATCATAACTCGAGTGTATGACAGAGAACACTTTGTAAGAGAAAGAAATTAGCTAAGGTGGGTTATAATAACAGAAAGAACCACTATACCTCTTTCTTCATGCCGCTTTTGTCTTTCTCATGGAGCGAAGGTACCATCAGCTTTTGCTACAATATCAGGTTTTGTCTTTGCATACTGTATCCTCTGCATTTACCACAGATCATCAATCACATTTTATGTAGTGTATTCAAAAAATGAGTTCCACATGCCTTGGGAAGTAGATATGACAGAAGAATACCAACTCACATAAACTAGAACAATTGATACATTTTCACCAAAGGAAAAAAAAAAAAAAAACAGTTGATACATAGAACAAAAATGAAGAAAAACATGTATGCTAGTGGCATACTCAATTGCATTTAAACTACCAAAACAAAACTCTAAACCAAGAATAACGAGAGGACAGCTTCTACTGATACAAAAATATCAATAACAAACTACTTTAATCAGTAACAAAGCCAATAATGCAATGGACATATTTGAAGAAAAACATAAATATGGCCAAAAAATCATGCAAGAACATGATAACAGTGTAATTGTGTTTCAGTTCAAATTGACAAATAAAATGAAAATGTTAAAGACGTGAAAGAGAAGAGCCTGAGATAAATAATAATTACATGGCAAACAAGGCAGTTGCATCATCAGTGAATCAATAGCATCATGAATTTTTCATTTTTGAGGAGATACATGATAATCCCTTTACTAAGAACAAAAACATTTTGAGGGGAAAAATCTATTTGATCCCATGAAAAGAGCTCACATCTTTATAAGTGTTTTCTTGGGGGAGAAATCTCTTCATGTATTATGTTTTTCTCAGGACAATTTTACCTCATATTTATTACGGTAAATTACATATTACCACCCTGTACTTTAGAGGTAGTGACACTTAGGCCCCCCAATTTTCATTTGCGACGAAGACCCCCTGAACTTTCACATTCAAACACTTTGCTGAGGCTTTCCAGACCCAATGTACCCTGAATGATAGACTTTTGAGATGATGGTGACTATTCTGAGAATTTTCAGACCCGGGAGATGTTTTCCCTTGGACTTTTCATGGAGAAATAAGAAAAAAAATCAAGTAATACCAAATCTGGTAAGGTCCTTCTCAGAGGTGCAGTCTGGTTTGCTGACCTATTTTTGTAGCAAATCAGCCTTCCATAAAACTTTGGTATCATTGATAAGTGATAATTGTCACCTTGGAATAATTGTTGAAGGATGTATTGCTGTTTCTGGACCATTTTTTGTTACTACCACTGTATTTGGCATTCCAAAGCATACTCTGGTTGTTTATTCTACTCTCCCGTGGATTGTTTAAAGAAGCTTTATGAATTTGTTCCACAGTTGCTGATTCACCTATACTCATTCTACACTTCTTGTTTACAACATCAGCTCATTGCAGCATCCCTGGGTTGCATGAATTCTCCAAACATAATTATTTAACTGTAAAAGCATTGAAGGTTCAATGGCACATCTACGAGTAGTTAAGTTCTAAAACTTCTTAGTGTCATTACTTGGGGGAGGCAACCCTTCCAGCTTCTTCACTTATTATATATGAAAATGGAGAGAAATGAAGAACGAAATGAAATAAATGACTCATTAGATTATTCACTTATTAAGAGTTCACCTTCATTGTTTCCCTTTCTTTCTTGTTTTCTTTCTTTCTGGTTCGATGTGCACTCCTTTGGGGGGGTTAGCACTACCAGTTACCAGTGAACAAGCATTCATTCACATTCGTCACTAAATTTTGGCTGTTAGCCATGTCTAATATTTGATATTGAGCATGTATTTCCAGCACGGTTCACAGAACAAGCAAAGCTAATGAAGCTTTTTCACAGATTGCAGTAGCGTATTCAAAAGGCATTCAGACGTTACTCTATCATAGAAAGTAGCTATGAACAAAAGAAAAAAAACTCCTTCTAGGGAAAAGTAATGTTGATTTTGCACGTTGGATTCGTATCAAAGAATGACATGGTTGTGGTTAAATTACTAATTAAAGCAAGGTGTACCATTGGCTTGTCATAGAACGGGAAACCATAAATTTGCTTGAGCACATTGGTGGCAGAAGAAACATCCTCGAAGACAACCCAAGCCTGAGTGCAACGCTGCACCTTGTAGCCGAGGGAGAGGTCCTCTCTTGTCGGGCAGTGTTTGATCATTATGGGCTGAGACGTTAAGTATAAGACCACTGAGGATTATACCTGATGGACTAATCTTGCATCTGCCTACAATCCTTGGGCCTTCATAAGATGGCTGGACCCAATGACCATTTAGTGTAAATGTTGTGCCCATTAAGAGCCCATAGTGATGGACTCAAGGGTTTACTGTATTCAGCATTGAATTCGGCCAAGCCTTGTAACAGAGGCTAGGCTGAACCCATGTGACTGATGTATAGATCAATGATAGGGTCTCACGCGATACAAAGAGAGCCAAGCTAGCCAGCATTAAAAAGGAAGTGAGCCTAAAAGTTTAATGTGCCTAAAGCCCATTCCGAACTAGGTTAATTAGATTAATTAAATAGGAGCGGATCTGGGATTTGGATCAGCAGATAAGGATAAGGGATTATCCTTATCCACTAAAAGAGTCCAGATCCAAATAAAGATTTGGATCAAGGAACTCTTAATTTGATTAGGAAGGCTGATATTTATCTGCAGATAAGGATAAGGGATTATCCTTATCCACTAAAAGAGTCTAGATGCAAATAAAGATTTGGATCAATGAACTCCTAATTTGATTAGGAAGGCTGATATTTATCTGCAGATAAGATAAGGGAATATCCTTATCACTTAAAGAGCCCAGATCCAAATAAATATTTGGATTGGGAAACTCCTAATGGGATTAACAAAAGACACATTCGTTGAATACAGAGAGAAGACAATATAGTTAGACTACTCTTGCCTTCTGCTCTTTTTCTTCCTGCTCTTACCACCCCACCCTGTTCGATCTCCAGTTCTTGGATTGGATCAAAATTGGATCTTGATATTGTTTCTTGCCAGAAGAAACAATCTAGAAGCTGTGCTCACTGTCCTATTTGGCTCTTGCTGAAGAATCACTAGAAGAACTACCTGTTGATCCTGCCTCACCCTAAGTTGTGTCATATTCAGTGGAGGGAGGATTTGGTACTCTCTTTGGGCGTGAACACCTACGTTGGGAGGAACATTCTTGCGTGGATTTCGTATCAGGTATATCCCTCCCTTAATTTGGTTTCAGATTTGGTCTGGTTTGGTTACAAGAACGAACCTTGAAAATGCAGTTTTCTAAATTGGGAATAGGATTCTCGGATGAGAGTAAATAAATTTTTGAAAATTCGCCCAAACTTCCTATAGGGTTCGGCCATCCATATGATGGATCTCCCATCCCTTCAGTGTTATCAGAGCCAGGTTCAGGTCTTGAACCAAATTAGAACAGATCTGAATCTGCGCAAATGGGTAGAAGGCACTCTCCCCGATTTGTGCAATTAGCGTTTTTTTGGGAATTGGTTCCTAGATTATGGGCGGATGATCTAGAAAATAAATCTTTATTATTCTGTTATATTTATAGAATTGTTCTGTGAATGTTTCTTAAATATTTGGGCTACACATGTGATGGAGATCGAATCTTTTTGGTGCCAAGAATGGCACACCCTGCGACATTGTTTCATGCATGTGATGTATGGATGTATGATGTGCTACGTACATGGGCCATAAGTATTTGACCCATGATTATTTTAATTGTGGTTCTTTCGTACACCATGGCTGAATGCACATCATTGCCATAGTGTCCATAAGATCATTGGATGATCTCCCCGTTTGGTGGGCCCTACATCAGCTTCCTCTTGAAGAGGAACCGTGCGGAACCCTAGCCGTTTAGGGCCCATTTAAATATGGCTTTGAGAAAGTCAGTGGGAGCCACTTTGCTTTGACCTAAATAAAACTAGGGCGTAATATTTCGTTTCTTCCACTGAAATATGAGTGCATGTGATAGGGAGATTCATATGATGAACTCTCTAAAGGCCTTCCATCATTAGCATGAAGATGAGTCCTTCAGTAATAAGGAGATGCACCATAAAATTGGACTATTCATTTGCTGCAGGATCTGTTGGATTGTTTCATAAGATGATAGGGGCGTCATAGACCGATGTGGGAGGGACCTATCCTGAAATGGAAGACTCTCTCACGGTACCTTGGCGTTCACGAATATGATGGATAAACACTCACTGGACAAAAAAGTTTAACCTAAAATGTCAATGAACCTTGTCTGATAGAGGCCAAAGGGAAAGCTCATGAGATGAGTGGATGTGATCCTTCACAGAAGGTGGTCAGGTTATGCAGCTGAAACATTTGGCTCTATGCACTCTATGTGGTTTCGCACATTTTCAGAGACAAACTTCGTTGTCTCCGCCACTGAGGTAGGAGAGAAATCTCAGAGATGAACAAATGGAAATGGAACATAGATTAAAAGCCATATTTATGTAGATAACATGAATCAAATCGGGTTGTGGACTAATATTTGCTTTGCCTTTTATCAAGAATGGCAAACGAACAATTTGCCAAACTGTTGGATGATAATAAGCTTAAGGGCCCAAATTACGCTGACTGGTATCGTAACCAGATGTTGGTTTTGATGTCCAAGAAATTGGACAAAGTTGCTAAGAACCCTGCTCGGGATCATCCGGGTGATAGGGCTTCTGAGGCCCGCAGGAGGGAATATCAAGAATGGGAAGAGAAAAACTCTCTTGCCTGGTGTTATATCATAGCCTCCTTAGACAATCAAATACATCGACAATTCGATCAGATCGAAGTGTCCAAAGATATTTCGGATAGTCTAAGGACAGTGTATGAAGAGCAGAATCATTCTACTCGTCAGAAGGTCCTAAAGCAGTTTATGACCGCACAAATGTCCAAGAACCAGCTAGTTCATGACCATTGTCTTAAGATGATGGGATATATCAATGAACTAAATGCTCTTGGATCTGGGCTAGATCATGTCACCAAAGTTGATGCCTTCCTAAACTTTTTGCCTCCTTCCTTCAATCAGTTCATAATGAATTACAATATGAACAATACGTTGTAGAGGGCCGAAGAATTGATAAAGAAGGATGAGTCCATTACCATGCTTGTTGAAGGTGGCAAACCAGACAAGAAGAAGAGGAAGGCAAAGAAGAAACC